TCTTTGACCTTCAAGATTGGCCATCTCATAAAAGATACATGAAAGAACTATGGAAATATCAAGCCAGAAATAATATAGTAGCAACATATATCTTCAGATGCATAATAAATATTGTGCTCCTTAAAGAACCTGAGCGAATGTCCCTTGTGTACTATCAACAGCAAGAAGATCACCTCCATTGGGCTTTGCAAAGGGACATGATTAGGAACCCAATGAATGGATCAGATTGCTTCCATACATACTCCTGATGCAAAGAGACGGATAAATGGTTACTGTAAAGGGGCAGCTTTTCCAGCTTTGTGAGCTAAGAAACCAAGTAATCTGCTAAAACACCTTCAGGATTCAGAAAGGTACAGGCTCAGAAAACTGATGTACAGAGTAGAACAAACTTTGAGTCCAGTGGGGACACCTTTAAGACCAACAGACGTTTATTCAAGGTATGAGCTTTCATGTGCATGGCACACTTCCTCCGATGTAAAGAGTGATTTTGTTGATTCACTTTGTTCTGAAAGAGAGGAGAGTCAATTTCTTCCCACTGATTTCTGTAACTTAAAACTCTTATTTGTGTGTGGCAAATTTTTGCCATCAGGGGGGTAACATTGCAAATGTCTGTCCCTTGTGGAGATTATAGGAGCTTGCTTGCATATGCAGGCATAAAAACATAGGGTTAGATTTAGCCAGATTTCTGTCACACAAGCCTGCCCAATTCCCCTCTGTGCTACATCTCATGGGCCTTTTACATGCAGGTCCTCTGATCCCCAGGGTAGCATTTTGGGTTGGGCAGACAGAACCCCTCATTTCAAAAGCAGAGAAGGTGGCGGGATCCAACCCTCTAGGCACAAGCGTGCAGGAGACCAGAACACCTGTGTCCTCTGTCAAAAATGGACAGCGAGTGGTGAGTATTTTGAGTCTTAACAAGAAAGGGAATGGCTATAAAGTAAGCAAATAAAGAAATAAATAAAAGAGCTCACTTCTAAGTGGTGAATCAGAATCACTCAGTGTATTATATTTTGTAGTGGAAAGGAGATTGCATTATACAATATACACTGTGTGTATGCCATAAGGTAAAGGTAAAGGTTTCCCTTGCTTGAAAGCCAGTTGAATCTGACTCTAGGGGGCGGTGCTCATCTCCGTTTCCAAGCCGAAGAGCCAACGCTGTCCAAAGACATTTCCATGGTCATGCGGCCAGCATGACTAAACACTAAAGTGCACAGAACGCTGTTACCTTCCTACCAAAGCGGGACCTATTTATCTACTTGCAATTTCTTGCTTTCGAACTGCTAGGTTGGCAGGAGCTGGGACCAGAGATTGGAGCTCACTCCATCACACAACACTCGGTTCTTGAACTGCCGAGCTACCAACCTTCCGGTCTGCAGCTAAGTTGTGTAAGCCACCCTAAGCTGGTTGTGTAAGTCGCCCTGAATTGGCTTTGCTGGGAGGGCGGGGGTAAAAATCTAATCTAATTAATCAATTAATTAAAAAAACACTGAGCGACCATGGCCCTGTGGCTGCCATAACAGTCTGCAAAATCAAAAAGGAGTCCAGGGGCACCTTAAAAACTAACAAAATGTATTCCAGCAGAAGTTTCAAAAAGCATAACAAGGCTGTAAGTCCATCAAGCTTATAATTATATAAACAGCAGGAAGAGGAGAGTGTTACAAAGAGAGACTGGTTTAAAACAAGGTGCAGTCCAAAGAGCCCGCTCAGACCATGTGTGTGAAACAATGAGTGGTTGTTAAAATATAAAACCTATATGGCGTGAACTAAAGCTCTTCCGCCAGGCTTATGAGTAGGAGCCGCCACGGCCACTTACACCACCGCGCCTTTTTCGAGAGAGACCACTGCGGGGATTGGGCAACATCTTTCCGTCACCCCAGCCTTCCCCCCCCCAATATGCAAGATGTTAGGAGTCTTCATGTGCATCCGTTGAATTGATTTTAATCTGTTTTAAATCTGTATTATGTAATTTTGTATATTGAACGCACTTAGTGCCCTATGTGAGCCGCCCTGAGCCCGCTCTCGGGGAGGGCGGGGTATAAATGCAATAAAATAAATAAACAAAATAAGGAGATACAACTGAAAGTTACACTGGCATAGCTGTAGTAATTGCCCTGACCTCGATGACCCAAGCTAGCCCAATCTTGTCAGATTTCGGAAGCTAAGCACTCTCAGCCTTGGCTAGCACTTGGACGGGAGACCGTGCGGACCACGTGTATCCATCTCTTACCTTGAAAACTCTATGGAGCCACCGTAAGACAACTGCAAACTGATGGCACTTAACACACACGGCTATAGTAACTAATACCTATAAGGCGTGGGAGAAGCAAGATGTTAGCACTTACAGTGGACAAGAAAGGATAGCTCCCTTTTAAGGCCTGCCTGAAAGACAGTGCTAAACTTCTTGATTTATTTTAGCATTTTGCCTTTTCACCCACACTTTGGAGTGCTAAATAGTGCCTGTAGAATCAGTTATGGGTTGTTGTTTTTGGGGGTATCTCTCTCTCTCTCTCTCTGTGTGTGTGTGTGTGTGTGCTTGCATGCCTGGAAGTCATGGTGACTTCTGGTGACCCCTACTGGGGTTTGGACATTTCTCAGACAGGTGGCTTGATACTGCCTGCCTCTGCGTCCTGAGCCCGGGACCTCCTTGGAAGTCTCCCTTCCAATTACCTGCCAGGGTCGGCGCTGCTCAGCTTCCAAGATCTGACAAGACTGGGCTTGCCTGGGCTATCCAGGTCAGGGCTAGGATCGTTTATATTATGCCTTGAAAGATAAACTCTTCACCCATTAGTTTCTCAGTGTGGAACTGAGAATTTTTTTTGGTTCCATTATTCCCTATGGGGACCATAGGATATAACGGAGAATTGTTCCGGGGTATCTGGTGCTCGGGTGGGGGGGAGTGTTTTTGAGGTAGAGGCATCAGATTTGTAGCATACCTGCTGGTGCCTCTCCTCAACTCCCCCCCCACCCCCAAATTTCAAAAAGATTAGACCAGGGAGTCTAATTCTATGGGCCTCTAATGAAGGTGCCCTAATCCTCCATTGAAACCAATGGAGGGGGGGAAAGGGTGTTTAAAGGGATTGTGCTGCCTTTAAATGTCTTCTCCAAGCCATGCAAGTGGTGCAACTCCAAAGGTGTTTTAAAAGACTGTGATCCCTTTAAACAGTTTCTCCACGCCCTTTAACTTTGACTATCCAGCAGTCCTGAAAAATCCCAAATATTTTCAAGATTTTCAGGGACTGGCCATTTTGGAATAAAGAAGAAGAAAAAGAAAAAGAGGAGGAGGAGGAGGGGATTGGATTTATACCCCGCCCTTTACTCAGAGTCTCAGAGTGGCTTACAAACTCCTTTCCATTCCCCTCCCCATAAAAGACACCCTGTAAGGTAGGTGGGGCTGAGAGAGCTCTTTCCAGAACTGCTCTGTCAAGGACAACTCTTGTCATCCAGCAGCCGCAAGTGGAGGAGTGGGGAAATCAAACCCAGTTCTCCCAGATTAGAGTCCACGCACTTAACCACTACACCAAACTGGCCAAATCTCTATCCAGCTGAAATAATATTTTTTCGGCTTGGATTTAGCCAAACACACACCTAGTTGGCATCTTGGTTTATTGCAGGGTCTTGTTCCTGAGTCTGTGTTTTTGTTATGTCTGTTAAGTGTTGTCAACTCACACTTGACTTATGGCAACCCCAGCAAGGGGCTTTCAAGGCAAGTGAGAAGCAGTGGTGGTTTGCAATTTACTTCCTCTGCAAAACCTGCTTCTGTGGCCTCACAGCCAAGTACTGATCCTGTTTGGTTTTCAAGAACCGATGAGATCAGGTTATACTATACCATGCCTCCCCCCCCCCACCCCCAGATCGCTGTTAGATGGTACATTATGGTTGATGAGAAGTTGTTCTAGGTTAGGAAGATGTTTTAAGCAAGGAAAGGCCAGCTATTATATATACGCAGAAGATTGTTGGTAATGCATTGGAAAGGATTCAGCTGTATCCTATAAGTATTCTGTTCTTGTCTCCTTTGTGTCAATCTTGTTCCTGGGTGCCAGCCTAGCTTTGGCTGCAGTCACACGGAACATTAGCCATGCTACAGAGACGGAAGATAGGCAGATTTTCTGGGCATGATCACAGCACCACATCTGGGAAGCGTAGAGCTCCTGTGCCGAACCCGAGGCTTCCCGCCGAAGATGTACTAGTTTACAGAGGTACTAGTTTACAGAAACCGCGGGGCAAGGGCGGGTGCCTAATTGCGTTTCCGGTGGAATCCCATGGCATTCGGCACCCACCCATGTCCCATTGCGAACAGGTTTTTTTCCCAAGTTTCCACAGGATGCGCACAAGCGCCCAATGGCGCATGCACACAAAGAGGCCCCCTCCCACTGCAGCCAGGCTTGCCGCTTCTGGAGGGTCGCTATGGCCACTGTCATGCAGGTGGTTAGAGTGGCTGGGATGAGGGGGCCCACCTCCCCCTCCATTGGCTATGCCTCGGAGCTCTGTTGGGGTCCGGAAGCGTCTGTCACCCTCTCCGGTAAGCCCACCACCTGCCTTCGGATGTGCAGATACGATTGCTCAGTCATGCGTATGCACAAACTTCAGTTAAAAACTGTCCTGTTTGCCACAGAAGTGCCACCTAGTGATTGCTGGTGTGATTGCGCCGCACAGCTTCTTTGCCGTGCTGCAGGATGGTCGTGTGATCGGCACCTCCCCCCTAAACTCGGGACCTCGACGGGACGTCTAATCGTGCAACCGCGTGTTATTTTGCCCCGGGGCAAACAGCCACGATTCCTCCCCGCATTTTCCTGCCCGTGTGACCGGGGCCTTTGTTGATCTGCATCTTTATTACAACTATGTAGCAGCACTGTGATTTAAGCAATGTCTCTGTATTGTACTGCCGGTGTCACCCAGTTCTTAAATATATCAGCAATGGTCATGACAGTTGAATTAATGTTGCCCATAAAATACAACTGTAACAGCTAATTTCTTTTCCTTTCAGAGAGGTGTCAAAAGGTATGAACAGCACACCAGTGAGGGAATTCATACTTTTGGGCTTTACAGACAATCATAAGCTTCAAGTCATACTTTCCCTCATACTGATGGTTACATATATTTTGACTATATCAGGGAACGTGGTAATCATTGTGATCACGCTGTCCAGTCACCATCTCCACACTCCAATGTATTTCTTCCTCCGAAATTTTGCTCTATTGGAGATTGCATTCACCACTTCCATCATTCCCAAAGCACTGGCCAACTTGGCCACGGGACAGAAGACGATCTCCATCAGTGGCTGCTTCACGCAATGCTTTCTGTATTTTACCCTGGGGACAACGGAATTCTTTCTGCTGGCGGTCATGTCGTTTGACAGATATGTGGCCATCTGCCACCCTCTTCGTTACTCCACCATAATGAGTGGCCAACTATGCTCACTGCTGGTAGGTTGCTCTTGGGTCGGGGGCTTGTTGCTAATCCTGGGTCCAGCAATTGCCTTATTTCAGGCGCCGTTTTGTGGGCCAAACACTTTGAACCATTTTTTCTGCGACAACGGACCACTGATAAAACTTGCCTGTGTAGACACAATTCTGCTGGAACTCATGGATTTCTTCATTGCCACTCTCTCACTCATTGGGACTTTGGCAGTAACTGTCATCTCTTATGCCAACATTATTTCTAGCATCGTGTCCATCCCGTCGACCCAAGAGAGGCAGAAAGCCTTCTCCACTTGCTCCTCCCATATTATCGTTGTCTCCTTGTTCTACGGTAGCTGCATCTTCATGTACGTGAGGCCTTCCCAAAGTGAAGGGTTTGATTTCAATAAAGGAGTCTCCATTCTAAACACTTTATTGAATGATCTGGTGACCCCCTATATCTACACTCTCAGAAACAAGCAAGTACACAAAGCTCTCAGAGATGCCAAAAGAAAGATTTGTATTAGGAATTGGTGAAAACGATGCATGGATAAAAGGAAGCAGGAAAGGATCGGCAGAAGTGTCCATGAAGCCCATCCAATTCTCTCGGTAGTGTTTCTTTCTGGATTTGTTTCAGGGTTCTATGTTGCTTATCAAGTCAAAGGCTCTGAAAGGGAATTATTTCTCCAACATTGGCCCCGGTCACACGGGGGGGGGGGAGCACGGCCAAAGCACGGCTTTTCTGAGCCGCAGCAAAATAGACGCACGGCTGCGGGATCAGACAGATCCCCCGAGCCGCTGCACAGTTGCTCCCCGGCACGATCAGGTGCTGGGGGGAAGCCACAGGATGGAGAGCGAGGCAGCCAGCTGCGCATGTGCACGCATGCGCAGTTTGGCTGGAAGCCTCGAATGCTGCGGAAGACGGGCATGCCGGCAATCCCACAGCCGCCCGTGCTGCAGAGCTTAAGTTAGGTAGTACCCTTTTCTAGGTTCTTTTTTGCTGTGTGTTTCCCCACAGAAAGGACGGATCAGGGACGGGTGTGCTCCACTTCCCAGATGTTGCGGTATGATCGCGCCCGTTTGATGCGCCCCTGATCCATCCCTCTTGGGGGCAAAACTTCCCGTGTGGCCGGGGCCACTATGAAACAACACTACCCATACTCCCTCTGGGTATATTCAAAGTAGATCCCCTTTGACAGCTCCTGGTCATTGTGACTTTATTGATGGCCACTGATGCTTCAGGGTCAATTCCAGGTTCTTGGAGACAGGTGATTGTGGTACCTATTTACTAGAAACAGGACAGAAGTGAACCTGTAAACTATTGTCCAATTAGTCTCCTTCCTGTTTCGGGCAAATTATATGCTGACCACCTTCTTCTTAGGTTGGAGACTTGGATGCAAAGATCTTCCATCTTGGGGTTTGAATAAACTGGTTACCGGGTTGTATCACATTCACACCTTAGCTCACCTTGTCAGCAAATATACATCACACAAGAATGTGAAACTACATGCTGTATTAAATGATCTCCAGGCTGTATTTGACTCAGTATCTTGAGAGCGCATATGGAAGAAACTGGCTACAATTTCAATCCCTCCCAGGCTTCTTGGCTCAATCATATGATCACCTGCTTCCTCTAACGTATTAAAAATTTGTTTTTCATACACATAATGCAGTACCTGTGTGGTCAATTGCACATAGCCTGGTTAGTCTACTAGACAGGTGTTGGTGTTGGAGAGTGCTATTAAATTGCAACCAACTCATGCCAAACCCAAGGGGGTTTCAAGGCAAGATGTTCATAGGTGGTTTGCCTTTGGCTACATCTGCATCACAGCCATAGATTCCTTTGGTGGTCTCCCATAGATTTACAGTATACTTGCTGATGCAGAATAAAATACTAGTAGTTGGGAAAAGAATCTTATAATAGAAATATCTGAAAGTCAATCGATCTTCATAAATGTGGTTTTTTTAAGTATTACAGTAAGGGAGGATATTCTTAAACTTAGGTGTCAGTGGCATTTGACAAGCAAAATATCACCTTCAGTTTCAACTCAATGTCGGAGGTATAAAAGGTATGATGTGTCTCTAATATATGTTTGATGACAACACCTAATCATAAAAGCCTTCTGGAATAAGGCATTTGAATCGGCAAGTAAAATTCTTCATCTGAAATTGAAATTAGACCTGGGAACAGCTTTTCTAAATATTATGCCCATTGCCCAAAGTTATTTTGATTAATAAGAGTTATTTTAGTAGGGAATTCATTTACAGCTGCCAGAATGCTGATGGCATATGCATGGAAACAACAAAAATCGCCTGACATTGATAAACGGTTAAGGAAAATCTGGTATATAATGCTGAAAGTTTGGGGAAGTTGTTAGAAAATTACAAAAGTCCCCCCCCCAAAAAAAAAACCTGCCCTCCCTCATTATATATAGGAATCAAAATAAACCCCAGAAATTAATAAAAATAGAAATACTGAAATTGGTTCAAATTAAATCACATTCTGGGTGTACATACAGTATATGATTTTCATTTCCACCCCTTGCCCCACCTGAAAAGCTCCTGGAGGTTTCAGGCAATGGCCTGGTAACCCTATCGTTGATATCCCATTGGCCGTTGGAAAGACACTGTACAGGAGGCTTGCCAGGCCTCTGGTGGGAATGAGGGCTTCCCCACACCAGGGCCATTTCACCAGTCTGCTTAAGAGCAGGTGGAAGCAAAACAGATGAGTGATTCCCCCTCTGCGGCAGGGAGAAAAGGGGATCCAAACCGGCTGATTCCGTTTGGGGCATTTTTTTTTTGGTTCAGTTTGGGGTTCAGTTCAGGGGCTGCCCTGAAGTATGAACTGAACCAGAATTTTTAGGTTCATGCTCCTCCCTGGTAGGAGGGCCCTCATCATCTGAGGCCCTAGACCAGAGCTTCCTTAGCTTGTGCATCAAGCTAGGTATGGATTTCATGGTTAGAGTCATGCTAGATTCAGATGGAAAGGAAAGGTAAATGATGGGTCCTATAAGTGTACAGAGGACACTCTACTCTGTTCTCCAGATGAAATGTCTCCAAAACATATCTCACTAATAAAGGTAAAGGTAAAGGTTCCCTTGCTCGAAAGTCAGTCGAATCTGACTCTAGGGTTGAGGTGCTCATCTCTGTTTCAAAGCTGAAGAGCCAGCACTGTCCAAAGACATTTCCGTGGTCATGTGGCCGGCATGACTAAACACCAAGGTGCACGGAATGCTGTTACCTTCCCACTGAAGTGGTACCTATTTATCTACTTGCAATTTCTTGCTTTCAAACTGCTAGGTTGGCAGGAGCGGGAACTAGAGACAGGAGCTCACTCCGTCATGCGGCACACTAGGGTTGCCAAGTCCCCACTGTATGTACAGTGGGGGACTCCAGCCCCATTCTGGGAGTGGGCGCACATGCGAGAAGTGCGCACGCGCCACAACCACGTCACCCGGAAGTGACTCAACCATGTCAGACACGGTTTTCCCTCGGATGACCGCGGCCCCGCCGCCAGCGCGCCTGGCGTGACTGTGCTTCCGGGTGATGTGCTGATGCCGGGCACATCACATGCTTTGGGGGTGGGGTTCCCTCTGGGGCCCGATCCGCCGATGGCAGAAAACGGGCCTCTGGGGCGGGGGTTTCCCCACCCCCTGGGGGGACTTGGCAAGCCTACAGCACACTCAGGTCTCGAACTACTGAACTACTAACCTTCCACAGCCTGCAGTTCAGAGTCTTAACCACTTGAGCCACCGCAGCTAATACTGAACACCAAAATTATAGAATCGTAGAATCATAGAGTTGGAAGGGACCCCCAGGGTCATCTAGTTCAACCCTCTGCAAAAATGCAGGAAATTCACAAATACCTCCCCCTCCATATCCGCAGTGACTGCTGTTCCACGCCCAGAAGATGACAAAAAACCTCCACGATCACCAGCCAAACTGGTCTGGAGAAAAAATTGCTTCCTGACCCCAAAGTGGTGATCAGCATTTCCCTGGGCATTTAAGAAAAGGGCCAGGAGAACTAAGCACTGATGCAACCCTTCCTGCCCTCCCTCTCATGATCTGCCTAAATTGACAATTGTAGGGGATTTTAAAAATTGACAGTCATGGGGAATTTGACAATCATGGGGAATTTAAAAACAAACACATACCAAATTTGTGGGGAATCCAAATTATTTTGGCCGTACTTAATATTCCAGGGTGGTACACCCATAGAGCACACGCAGATAAATATAGAAAACATAGAGACTAAATTGATGTAGCATAAACATACTTTATCTAAGGGCACAGTAAGTTTTGGTCTCTCTGGGGAAGCAGCATTAATGTCCCTTGTGAGTTGTAATGAGGAGAGAACTTTTTGGGTGTTGCAAAAGCTATATGCTTAGAGAGAGGAATGTTTGGATTTATTCGCTTTGGGAAGCAGAAGAGGATCAACTTCATCTCAGTGGATTATTAATGTAAGATGGTTCTTCATCTTCATGGTTCATGACCAAGTATGCTAACAGGGAGTATCTCTTCATGCACCAGGCTCTGGCTCAGTTCTTATGGCCACAGGTGATGTCACAGGTGTCTTTATCCTTTCTATTGACTGTGGAATAGAGTTCTGAAGAGCTTGCTTTTGTACGTGCAGAGATAAGAACCTAGAGAAAATATGGCCGCTGACCCAAACAGCAATGTCATCTCATCAATGTGGACTGCACAGGGTGAATATTTCATTAAGATTTCATTTTTGAGCAGGGACTCCGGGGACTCAGTGTGATCCATTATGCAGTACAGAAGATACTGTAGAATACAAGGCCACAGTCGAAATTTGTAAACAGCATGAACATCTGCAAAATGTTTTTAGATGGGTTGGAGCTAGACTTTATTTTCCATCAGTGTAATAGCAACTAAAAATGATTAAGGGGATGGAAAACCTTTCCAATGAAGAAAGGTTAAAGAAGTTAGGGCTTTTTTTAGCTTGGAGAAACAATGATTGAAGGGTGACATGATCGAGGTTTACAAAATTATGCATGGGAGAAAGAAGGTAGAGAAAGAGGTCCTTTCCTCCCTTTCCCACAATATAAGAACTCGTGGTCACTCAATGAAATTTATGAGCACAGATACAAGGGAGTATTTCTTCACCCAAAGAGTAATTAACATGTAGAATTTGTGGCCGCAGGAAGTGGTGGCAGCTACAAGCATGGACAGCTTCAAGAGGGTATTAGATAAACATATGGAGCAGAGGTCCGTTTGTGGCTATTAGCCCCAAGGTCTAGATAGGAACACTCTGTCTGGGGCAGTGATGCTCTGTATTCTTGGTTCTTTGGGGGCAACAGTGGGACGGTTTCTGGAGTTCTGGCCCTGTTGGTGGACCTCCTGATGGCACCTAGGTTTTGGCCACTGTGCGACACAGAGTGTTGGATCAGATGGGCCCTTGGTATGAGCCAACATGGCTTCTCTTATGTTCTCATGCTGGGTTATTTTCATCAATTTCCTCTCCATGAGAGTCCTCTGGTTTGCCTCGTGTGTTGTTCCTGAGGGTCCTCTGCCCGCCCCCCCCCCGGAAGCAGCATTTGGGAGAGATCAATGGCATGCAGCGGGGGGGGGGGCAGGCAGGAGCATTCTCTTCCTCAGAAAGAAGTGTGTCATGGGAGTGGACCATTTAGTCCACACCACTCTAGTTTGGGTTGGATCCAGCCCAATATGTCAGAGAGGGATGAATGTTTTAACTGAAAAGGAGCATCAGTGGCTGTGAATGAAAGAGGAGAAACTGCTTAACTCTTTCCAAAAACTTCTTAACCCTTTCCCCCCCCGCCCTCCCCCCCCCCCCATTTCCACTCACCCTGTCAAGGAATTTCCATACTCACAGGAAAGATATACAGGACCCCCATATCTTTCTCTCTGAAGGATGAAAAATAGTTTCGGAGAGAGTTCCTTGCTCTGCCATGGAAACTGGCCAGCTCCAGGTGTGGTATATTGCTTTTTCACAGGTCTTCTCTTCTCTTCACAGGTAATAAGGATGCACCATACAAAATTGTTCACAAACCTAACCTGGATAAATGCCTAGCAACTGTGTGTAGATTACTGTAAGTAGGATCCTATGATGTGATCTTTGCACTGCTTAGTGTGTCATGTGCTTCGGTTCTTTCTGGTCGGGTCCAGACTTTACAATCCTAATGCATTGTTTTACCCGATGTCCCATTTTGCCAAATGTACAGACTCACTGTGTGTAATCTGCCTTGCGTCCCTCAAGAAAGGCTGACTATAAATAATGTAAATAAAATGAATAAAATAAAAGGGGAGGATTCTGTTCAGTTTGGGGTAGTGGTTAAATGTGGTTAAATGTGCAGACTCTAAACAGGGAGAACCGGGTTTGATTCTCCACTCCTCCGCTTGCAGCTGCTGGATGACCTTGGGCAAGCCATAGTTCTGAGAAGAGCTGTCCTTGAAAGAACAGTTCTCAAAAGAGCTCTCTCGGCCCCACCTACCTCACAGGGTGTCTGTTGTGGGGGGGGGGAAGGGAAAGGAGTTTGGAAGCCGCTCTGAGACTCCGAGTGAAGGCCAGGGAATAAATCCTTTTTCCTCCTCCTCCTCCTTCTTTTTCTTGTGTGTGCTGTATATTAGGCACTCACCTGGAGCACACACCTTTTCTCAATGTGTATTATTTGCCCAGTCTAGCAAAGAAGCTCTAATTGGGGAAGAAGAGTTAGGCTATAGAGATTAAGTGACTGAGAGAGGGAGATTGTCCATCCCTTTGTCAGGATGGACAAAAGGAAATACTTCTTTACACTGAGTGTGATTAAAATGTGGAATTTGCTACCAGAAGATGTAGCGATGGCCACATGGATAGACCACTTTAAAAGGGGATTATATAGATTTATGGAGGACTGGACTTTCAGTGGCTACTAACCATGGTGACTAAAGGGAACCTCCCCTTTCACAAGCAATCAACTGAATCCCAGTGTCAGGGGGCAACATCAGGGGAAAGTCTCAACCTCTATGGCCTGTTGTTGGCTGTCCAGAGGAACTGGTTGGCCACTGTGTGAGACAGGATGCTGGACTAGATGGATCTTATGATAGTACTTGATTGACTTTTGTCTAACACAGCAAGTCAATTCTTAACTGTAGTAGCTGTGACCATGCAGTAAAATAAAAAAGATTTATTAATTTAATAAACTGCTAGACTTCTAAATACCAATTTACCTTCATTTCCTTATAGGCAGGTGTCAAAATGATGAACAGCACCGTGGTGAGGGATTTCATTCTCATGGGCTTTACAGATGATCGTAAGCTTCAGATTTTGCTCTTTCTTCTACTGATGGGAACATACCTTTTGACTCTATCAGGGAATGTCGTGATCATTGTGATCACGCTGTCAGATCATCGTCTCAACACTCCAATGTATTTCTTCCTCCGAAACTTTGCACTATTGGAGATTGGATTCACCAGTGCCATCATTCCCAAAGCAATGGCCAATTTGGCCACGGGACAGATAACTATCTCCATAGCTGGCTGTTTCATGCAGTTCTTTTTATATTTTGTCCTGGGGACCACAGAATTTTTTCTACTGGCGGTAATGTCTTTTGATAGATACGTGGCTATTTGCCACCCTCTTCGTTACTCCACCATAATGAATAACACAATATGCTCACTGCTGGTAGGTTTCTCTTGGGCTGGGGGCTTGTTGCTAATTCTGGGTCCGGCAATTGCTTTATTTCAGATGCCATTCTGTGGCCCAAACACTATAAACCATTTTTTCTGTGACAATGGACCATTGCTCAAACTTGCATGCCTAGACACAAGTCTGCTGGAACTCATGGATTTTTTCATTGCCATTCTCTCTCTTGTTGGGTCTCTGGTAGTAACTGTCGTCTCCTATGCCAATATTATTTTCAATATCACACGCATCCCATTGACCCAAGAGAGGCAGAAAGCCATCTCCACTTGTTCCTCCCATATTATTGTTGTGTCCCTTTTTTACGGTAGCTGCATCTTCATGTATTTGCGGCCTTCTCAAAGTGAAGGGTTTGATTTCAACAAAGGGGTCTCCATACTAAACACCATGGTCACCCCATTGTTGAACCCCTTCATCTACACTCTCAGAAACAAGCAAGTTCAAGAAGTGTTCAGAGATATCAGAAAGAAGGTATTGAAAAATTAGATAGAGATTGAGAGACAGACAGAGGAGGGAGGATGTACTTCTTCACCCAAAGGAAGTACTTCTTCACCCAAAGTGTGATTAACACTTGGAATTCACTGCCACAGGAAGTGGTGGCGGCTACAAGCATGGATGGCTTCAAAAGGGAATTAGATAAGCGTATGGAGCAGAGGTCCATCAGTGGCTATTAGCCACAAGGTATAGATAGGGACTCTGGGGCAAGTGATGCTCTGTCATCTTGGTGCTTGGGGGGGTCAACAGTGGGAGGGCTTCTAATGTCCTGGCCCCACTGGTGGGTCTCCTGATGGCACTGGTATTTCTGGCCACTGTGTGATACAGAGTGTTGGACTGGATGGGCCTTTGGCCTGATCCAACATTGGCATCTCTTATGTTCTTATATTCTTATGAGGATGGAAGATGATGGATGGATTTAGACTGAGGCAGTGGACATCCATATATGGCGTCCCTGAGGTTTTTGTCATTCTGTTCTTCTGTCATGTATGTAACAACTACTGGCCATTATTTATATTTCATCACAGGCCAGGGACCTCTCACAACCAGGAGATTTCTTTGTTATCAGCTTGTGCCCACCATTTTAATATTTATGAGGAGGATTTAAATTTATTTATTTTTACTGTATTAACTAATATATTTTGTATAATTGAAATGTAGTTACCCACCCTGAACCTGCTTGCAAGAAGGGCGGGCTATAAATGTGAATAAATAAATAAATAAAACTCTTTCCGTAAAAAAGTCAAATCAGTATTTTTTGTGTCTTGGTCACTCTGGATTAGTGCCCAGTACAGTCATTACAGTGCAATCCTCTGAGGTCAATGGTCTTAGACTAGATTAAGGGTGAATAAAAGTTGTGAATATAAGATGAAAGGTATGATGATACTGACCTCGTGCCTAGGAGAGTGACCCAGAGTTAATTGGTAGATTTCTAAGATATTCAGAGACCTAAGCTGTGGGGAAGGAGGCTAAGGTATTAATGAGAGCATAAATAATTGTTAGCTACTATTTTAGACATGTTAAATCTTATGGCCAGGATGTTAAGAGGAAAACTGAAATCTTGAATGTAAACACTGTCAATTAAAGCGCTTTTACTTTCCCCACCATCTCTTAGTTTGAAAGTTTTTGAGATGCATTGGCCTCCATTCAGAACCTCCTAACTAATTCTGTAAAGCAGGGGTTACTGTTGAGAAAGCCCATGTTCTCAATGAGGTAAGAAGAAGAAGAAGAAGAAGAAGAAGAAGAAGAAGAAGAAGAAGAAGAAGAAGAAGAAGAAGAAGAAGAAGAAGAAGAAGAAGAAGAAGAAGAAGAAGAAG